CCTCCCTCTCACTCAGACATCCTATCCCAGTAACCCCCAAACCACAAAAAAGGAGAGTACATGTCCTGAGGGTATGACATGGCTGAGACCATAGGACACCAGTTAGGGTAGTCGAGCAGAAGCATTAAGAGCAGCCACATACTTCCAGAAAATTTGGCTGAGAACCACTACCCCTCAGATGTGGGAGGGTAGCTGCAGGGGAAGTAGACACTGCCCAACTCACATCCAGCACCAGGAACAGGCAGGTAGGGTAGAGTCAGAGGCAACGCTATGAAATTCTCCATGCAATTTTCTCACACTTTGGGTAACCTGGTGGGAGACTGAAGGATGCTGAAGTTGTCAGTGGCTCCCCCACCGCCTCAGACATGGGACATGAGCATCTCCTCTGCCTCCTGCCTTCACCACTGTCACATTTATAGCTGAGGCTTCATGGGGATGCTGAGCTTTGACTTATAGGTGAACACTGATACTCAGCTAAGTTACCAGAGATTTTCACAGTTTTGTCCATCAGGTATGTTCTTGATTTCTCTTATGAACTACCCACCCATTACAAAATCGGTTACATGTATGTCTCAGCACCTAATATAAAAATATAACTTATGAATCTTATTCAGAAATAAAAGAAAATAACCCAGTAAAATTTGTGACGTAAAATACTTCGCTAGAATTCATCCTTTCCATGTTTTAGCTTTATTTTTAGATTTTACTGTTTCAAGATTTCTTACAATATTTTAAAGCATGGCTTAAAAACCCTGAGACTTCAACATCTGGTCATGAGTTACTTGCAGAACTTCAGCATAGTTTTCTTTCTTTTGAAAAATAATTAATCTATGATGGCTTTAATGGGTGGCAAATGAATAAAAACAGCTTTAATGCTGACATAGCTTTAGCTGTAAGATTGGACTTATCGGACCCCATGATCAGGGTCGTCTGGAAAAGTTTATAATTTGGCTCCATGGAAAACTCCAGGGGATGGACCCTAGGCCTGGAAGCTTATTTCCAGTTTGAGCTCTGAGGGGGCCTCTTCCCACACCAACGTCTTCTTTGTTTATAGAGGATTTTCAACTGGTGGCCCTTCCATCTCTTCAAAACACTCATTAACATTTCAACCAGAAAATATTGCTGTCCTTTCCTGTGGTCCTAAGAGTTCCCTGGTCTCACCACATCCATGAAAGAGAGAAAGGATTAGACCCAAATATTATCCCTGTCTCCTCAATGTCAGGAAATCTTATTTAATTAACTCCCAGTTTGCCCAGTTCTGAGGGGTTCAATAATTGAGTGTGTTCCCCTCAATGCTTATGTGTTAGAAACTGAACCCTGACTTCAGTGTTGAGATGGAGGACTTTTGGAGGTGATTCAGGCATGAGGTGCCCGCCATACATGAATAGGCTCATATTTTGGAAACTGGTTTGCCACAAAGATGAATTGAATATTGGGTCTCATGATCTCTTGCCCATCTGCCTTTCACCATGAGATGATGCAGCAAGGGGTTCTCACAAGATACAGCCCCTTGACCTTTGACACCCAACCTCCAAGACTGTAAGAAATAAATCTCTGTTCTTTTAAAGTCACCCAGTTTGTGGTCTTCTGTTAAATCAGCTCCAAATTGCAGGTGTCTCTAAGGCTATTCCACTACAGGTTCTGCCTCTAATCAGAAATGGCCAATTCCTCGGGCCCATGTCACCCCCTGGATACACACTAATGACCACAGAAGGAAGTCACAGCTTATCCAGAGGCTCAGAAGGCAGTTACAGCTTATCCAGAGCACCCCTATAGAATTCCTTCCTGGACAGAGATCTTATTGGGCTTTGCTCTTGGTAAGGCCTGAACTCATGGTTTTGAGAGAAGTACCTCCAAGGGAAGTGAGAGAGGGTTCCTCTGTGCTTCTTCAGTCACATACAGGAATACACAAACTGTACAGCAAGTGGGAAAGTCCAGGGTATATCAACTGGGCATACATCAAAATGTCCCTCATGATTCTTCTATGTCCCCTATTCTCAGGTTGGAGCCCTATGACCACATTAGAGGCTGACGGTTTCTTAATTGGGAGTCTGATACCTATGTGCTCCTTCTGTTCCTTCCTTCTTCTCTGTTATCTAACCCCTTTTACTCAGTTAGGACATTGCCAAACTCTTCTGGTCCCTCCTTGTCTGTACTGCCCCCTCATAAATCTACTCCCCAAGTAGACAGAGCAAGTAAGTGTTACTTTGGGTCTCATGCAACAGAGTTGTAATGTAGTTAAGTTGAAACAGACAAGGGGGGGCCCACCTCTCCTAGGAGCATCACGGAAGTGCTATAACTGGTTTAAAAAATGACTTAGGATTAATGTTTTTAAATTCTTACTATAAACATTGGTGATGCTCATCTTCCTATAAATAAAGACTTTCCTATAAACAAAGACTTTGGGGATCCCAAATTGAGGCATCCCAATACCTAGGCCTCTAGAAAACTTTAAAGCCAGCTGCTTACTGCCAGGGGCTAATGAATCACAACTTCACAGTCTCACCCAAGAACTATTAACCTGTGGAGTTAAGGGGCCCTGCTGTCTGAAACCTGCATGAGCATAAGGTCAACATATGGTATCACCTGCTGCTGACCCCACCTCCTGCTACAGAATGCCAAGGAACAGAAAAAGTTACTGAGAACCAGCACTTGAAAAGCTTCTCTTCACCTACCAACAACTTCCACTGGGTGGGGCAGACTCCAGTCACCTGTCTTTTAACAAAGTTACAGTGGTGAGTGGCTCCAAGCACAGAAAGATCAGCCCTGGCCTTGGTGAGTTTCTAGTCTAACGGAGAAGACAGGGCATTATTATTATTATTATTATTATTATTATTATTATTATTATTTGACAGTCTTTCTGCCCTTGCTTTCTAGGATGTTGCACTCTCCCCCTTTCCTCCTCCTTCCTCTTCCTGGCCCCTAAGTGGCTCACTTCCTGTATTATTGATTTACAATAAGTAAGAGTTTCCCATACTCACTTTCCAGCCTCCCCACTGATCTCCAGAATGTCACAACTAGAGGCCTACAGGACCCGACTAATTTATCTAAGAGAACACAGCAGAATTTCCCATCTCTCCAAACAGATCCTTCTCCAGCAGCAATTTCCACCCAGGTGAAGGCCTCATCCAGGATCTTTTTCACCCTGCCTCTTACCTAGAATTCACTTCCATTGATTATCACTTTTTAAGGCCACTGCCTACCAACATCATGCTTATAGACCACTGTAGAGCCTGCCATCTGCTTCTCTTTCCACTCTCCTTCCAGAATAGTTGACCCCAGGAAGCAGTCAGATACCAACGCACACCACACAGCACCCTCCAGAGGCTGTTTATACAGAATAAAATCTGACCTCTTACCATTGCCCACAAGGCTGAGGCTCAACCACCATGTGAGTAGGAAGAAGAGCAGAAGGAAAGAACACCAAACCAGACACATGCAGCCCAAGGAGCTAAGGGCTTGGTGAGAGGACCACAGTCTCTTAGGCATAGAGGAAACAGGTAAACATCCCAAAGGTAACAATTGTCAAGATTCACTTCCTGTCAAGCTCTGCTTCACCCCTTAACTGTTAGCTGGACAACTTGCTGCTCCTCCAACCACACCTAATTGATTCCAGCACCATGGACTTTGCAATTGCCAAGTTCTTTGCTTGAATAGAGTTCTCACGCCAGAAATCCTAATTAAGACCCATGATTTTACTTCTTTCTCCTCTTTGATTCTATGTCACCTTCCACAGAAATGGTGTTCTACTTGTCCATCCTACTAAAACAAAACTCTCTCTCTCTCTCTCTCTCTCTCTCTCTCTCTCTCTCTCTCTCTCTCTCTCTCTCTCTCTTGCTCTGTTCTCCACTGTAAAGTTGCTGCCTACTTCTCCCACATAAATTAAAAGTACATTAGAGCAGGAATTTTGACCCTCTCATCACTCAAGATTTATTGAATGAATGACTAAGTGTCAAGTGTCAGGTCATGTCATTTAATACTTTTTTTTTGAAAAGAGGACTAAATTTCTCATAGAGATGGTTACAATATTGATAAAGGTCCTAAGCAGACTTCTGAGACACAGCCCCAAGAGAAAGTCATTTACTACAAAGACCATCCATAGACAAATAACCCACTGGATGCATAAATCCCAATGCAAGGAGCGATACAGAAGAGCAAGACAACGTGAAGCATACAAAGGGACACATCAACACTTTACAAATGAGCTCAAAGAAGAAGCTTACCTTGTAGAGATGACTAAACTCCGCATTTGTATACAAAGGCCTAGAAAACGTGTGATTTCATAAGGAAGAGAATTGACAAGGAAGCATATGCAACTGTGGGTTGATGTGCTATTATTAGGCAGTTAGGTGTCAGAGGCCACTGAAGGGCCCTGATGAACCCCTCCTGCACAATCAGCAGTTTGTAAAACTAGGAACTGAAACTGTAGGTCTCTAAAGGAATGGGATCTGAGTCATTTCTGGCCTCTAGGTGAAGGTATGACTTTCTAAACTGCCCAAGAACTATATGATTGCTAGCCAGGACAAGGGAGAGAGTGTAGTCGATAAAGGGCTTGCTATGTAAATCTGAAGACCTGAGTTCAATCCCCAGCACCCACATCATGTCAAGGCCCAGTGGTGTGCATGGCAATCCCAGCTCTGGGAAAGCAGAGACAGGAGGATCCCTGGGCCTTGCTGGTCAGTCCAGACAAAATGTGGAGCTCCAGGTTCAGTGAGAGATCCTGTCTCAAAACTAAGGTGGACCCTAAGGTGAAGGGTGAAGGAGGCAGATGTAATTACTGTTAGTGTTATTTTCCTCATAAGTGAAAATAACAGAAAGTAAAGTATGTACATGATACAGGTTATGCCCACAAAAAACCAAAGGGTGACTCACAGTTTTGAAACCTGAGAATATTTACTGTTGTACAATTGCCCACAAAAGGCACCATCTGAGGTCAACAGGCTTTCTCTATGTGTCTGTTTCTACAAGAGCCTTCTCCCTAAACAGAAGGTAAGCACGTTTGCAAAGTCTTGCCGCTGGGAGCTCTCAGACCTGGAGCAGCTCGGGCCCACAGAACCAGCTATGGTTATGGGCTCAGTAACAGGATCCAATTTAGCCCCCAAACCAAGGAGGTATGCCCGCTACAGAAGCAAAGGACAACTCAAAAGCAGGTAAAGTTCATTGGAGGGGCGCCCCCCAGAGGCAGGATGGGGAGTTTCAGGACTCAGGCAGGAACAGTCTCTAGCAGAAGCTAGAAGCCCCCAACCCTGCCCCACCTCACCCTGCCCTAGCAGACCCTTAAACTTTTTCCTGGCTGGTCCCAATGACAGTTCCCATTGACCCACCAGGTCTAAGTCAAGGCCAACAGGCAGTTCTAAAGCATCACTTCGCCCTCACCTGCCCAATATCTAGCCAGGCATCCTCTCACGTGAAAGATTTCCTGGGGAACAAGGGAGACACACAGTGCCCCTCTGCAGCTCTCCTGGTCCCCGAGGAAGAACGGTCAACGGCAGAACTTAAGCACTGCTGACTCACCAGCGTCTTCCCTGTGTTCTGTTGTGGCAACTGGGCTGGAGGGCCAGGAAGGGGCCTAGAGAACTGTTTCCTGCCCTGTGAGCCCTGCAGGATGTTCTGAACTACATACAGCACAGGCAGACAACTCAGAAGCCACCTGGGTGGGAAAGAGAAGAGGAAGAGAAAGGAACAACAAACAGACAGGCATGTCAAAGTGTTAAGAGCAGTTTGGAGTAGTACATTGTTCTCAAGGAAGCCTCACAGAGACAATAAGTGGGGCATTACAAATCTGGAGTTCAGAAACAACAATCCCAAGAAAAACCAGAAAAAGACGCCTTCTTCCCCAAGGAAGACCGATGGGCAGTGCTCTGGTCAGGAGAAAGGATCTGGAAAGACAGTCTGACAGGGGTGAGGGAGAAGGGCTTTGGGAGCTGCCTCCATGTAGGTGAGGGGCAGTGAAGGCAGATGGGTGACAGGGCCTTGTGGACAAGTTGCCTGGGTAACTGGGAGCCAGGCTTAGGTGACACTGCCATGGAAAGGAGGGCTGACAGGGCTAAAAGAAAATACACTGGGGGAGGGGGTGGCCTAGAGACAAGTGTCCCTCAGCCAGACCTGGCCTGAGTCCTTTGTTTCTCCAGAATTCACATTAAGGCAGTCCACCTAGTCCACACGCTCTACCATGTCCAGGCCATTAATGGTCTCCCTTCTTTCTTCAGAGACTTTTGCTCCCTCTGGAGTCAAGTTTCACATTGAAGAGGGAAACTCATAGCTTTGGGAGAGCCATTTCTCCCAGAGTCTTAGGTTCTGTCATCTGTAGCTTGTTTCTATTTTCCCTGAGGTGTGCTACTTTATGAAGGGCAAACCTAAAGGAAAACAGACCCTCACCATGGCATAGCAGTCAGAAGGCTGCAGAAACATCCTTAGAGGTCCCTTAATGAAGCACACAGGAGGCCCACGGGGCTCCTTCACTTGTGTGGTGGTTTCCTTCCCACTCTGAGGCACTCGGTAAGGAGGAAAGGGGAGGAATGTGATGGGTGGACTTCCTGGCCTATGTCAGTCTCCTGGCTAGATGCTCTGCCCACGTGACTGGAGGCACCAACCTTGTTCTGTTTGTAGCTGACTCAGGATGGGTATTTCCGCCTCTCTCATGTACTAAGTCGGACAGACCTTGACCTTAAAGACAAAGGTGGAGCCTGGCTCATCTGCTGTTTGAGAACTTTTATTTCCCTGACCTTAGATCCTCTTCAGGATGTGTGGAGCTGGTAACTCATCTTCACTAGTCACTTTCCAAGATCTGCCAGCTGAGATGCCTCTAAGCTCACCATTTCTCCTCTCTATCCTCAGGACCACCACCCTATACACTGTCTGGACCAGGCTCCTGGATGTCCCATCGTTCCCACATCATTCCATAATCACGTTATAATTTCCCCGTTCCATGGATATTTCATATTTCTGTTTTCAAAGGACTTGAAATCACAAGAAAACATGAAATAAAGCTACTGATTATTTGAAAATTACTATAGAAAAGCTCACCCTAAGCTAATTTTTCAACTCTACCAAGAATTCCATCTATCCTGATACATGGAGCAAGAAAAAAGGGGGGTCACAAAATTATCCTGGTGTAAGGAGAATAGAGGAATGGGGGAAAGGACCCTCCAGAGTGAACTCCTAAAGGCCTCTCTACAGAATGAGAGTGAACTTCAAAGGACAGAAAAACCACTGGACTTTTAGGAAGAAATATTTAGCAGGTAGTCCCTTTTAATATCAGCATCTCTTTTAAGAAAGCATTGAAATTCTAAAGCATGTGTTTTCAAAGGCCATTGCTTCAGTGTTGGGGCGGAGGTCTGGAAGCTAATACAAATCTCACAGTTCTCAACAGAAAACTGTATGACTATCACCCATCCTGAGGGTAGGAAGAGAGGAGAGGGTGGTGATCAGGAAAGAGGTCGGGGCATTGGATGTGTGGGAAGATGGATTGTCTTAATGAATTAAGGAAAAAGAGAAGAAGATCTAATTACCTACATTAAACAGAACTTTCATTATAAAGAGTACTTTCCTAAGATGCTGATATCATTCCTACCAAGAAGCCCTGGAAAAGGAGTCGGTAATTAGTGGACCTCCTCTAATACCCCTCTTAAGTACCAATTAAACCTTCACTGGGAGTTGACAGCAGTGACCACAAGAATGTCTGCTCCAGGGTGTACTAGAGGAACAGGGTGCCAGGTTTCTGCTGTGTCCGTCTGCTGGTGGTAAAGTACACATTGTCTATCCGAGTAGGAAGGATCCCATAAGGCACTGCTGACTGGACAGAAAGCTGAGCAACAGTGAACTACAGACATGCCCAAGGAAAGAAAATACGCCTCTCCTGACTTTGATTTCTATACAAATATCAAAACAAGGGTGCAGCTGGGACACCAAAACTCTACTCCAACATAGCAGAGGAGAAACTTCTTCAGCCTAGTTAAGTCCTCACACGTGGTCAGTTTCCAGTTAGCATCACCTCGGTGGGAACTTGTAGATTCTTGAAGATTCTTGGGTCCACTTCAGACCAGCTTAACTGAAACTTTTATGGTAGAGCCAGGGTATCAACAAGCTCTCTATGATTCTGATGCAATGAATCTGAAAACCACTCGTCTAGAAAGTTTGAGGCTAAATACGGCAGCAAGCTACAGGAGGTATTTTACAAATGCTGCTTTGCCTCTCTTCAAAGTCTCTGTTGTACTCTGAGAAGAAAGGTGTTTGCAGATGCCTCTTGAAGGCAAACGACCAAAAGCGTCTTGGAAAGGGTTTTAAGACCCAGGAGTTAAGAAACGAAGGAAAGGGGTAAATTTTAAGAAACTAATTCAAGTCTCAACTTGATTAACCAGAGAGAAGTCTTCTGTCTTCGGGTAACTATGCACTGCTCTAGGCTAGCCAATGCAAACACAGCTCAAAACTGAAAAGACATTAGAAGATACAGAACCACGCCTGCTCCCAGGTGGCTAACACCAAAGTGCCTTCCAGAGTCAGCCATATCATCGGTCTCTTATAGAAAGATGGCAAAGAAAGACAAATATTTTTTGTCCCACTTTTCTTGCATACCAATGACAGCATACTACTCACACTGTTTTACACATTGTTTTTCTCACTTACTACAGCTTGGTGGCTGTGCCATACCAGAAACATCCGGAACCACCCAGAAAGGTTCTGAGTTTCTGAAAACATACAACAATACAAGGTGTGGGACAGTTCTCTGTGAAGAAGGAAAAGCTGGCAGGACATCACATGATTTTTCAATGGACCTCCAGCACATCCTCAATTCTCCATTTGCAGAACATTTTTCAAGCCCTATTGTGTGTTGTTTCACAACACAACATTAATATGGAAACCTTCACCTGGGTCATTACATAAATACAAAGTAGCATTACTGGAATGCACTAGAGTCCAGTGATTCAGGTACCCTAGGACAAAAGTAGAAAGGAGCTTAACCACTAGAGAAAACTCAAAGCAACGACATGACTCAGAAGGATTTTATCTATTAAGTTCAATGACTATAAATCACATTTTATCTGTAAGAATTAAAACTCAACCAATGATAAAACACAAACTGACTAAGAACAACTTGCTACTTGATAGAGCTATTTTCCAACACTTACAATCAGGTAAACAACACAAAATAAAATAAATGTAATCTAATATTGCACCAAACTCCATTGTAGTAATATTTCTTTCAAAATTATTTCTGCTCATACTTCTTCAGCACCATCAGGAAGATCTTTCCCCTCTGATTCTACTGAGTTTTTTTTTTACTTTTTTTTACTAAGTGTAGCATCCAAAGGTAAAGCATTAAAGCTTAAAGTAAACAAACAAATAATATACAAATCACCTTATTGGAAAGAGTTCACATGACATATAATTTATACTAATCAGAAGAGTTTTCTTACTATATAGTCCCAGAGTTGTGCAACCCTCACCTTGATAAATTTCAGAGCACACTCATCCTTGGGAAAGAAATTCTACCTGCCATTGTCCCCCCACCTTCCCAAGACCCCCGACACAGGCAATCAGCAGTCCATATTTCATTTTCAGCAGACTAACCGGCACATGCAACACAACTAAGGAAACAAAATCAATGACCTTGTAGATAAGTCTACAGAAAAGGCCCTCCACTCTCCACTGAAGAGCAAAGAAACAAAAGAATGAGGGAAAAAAAACAAACATTTAAGGGCTACAACGTAGTACCAGATGTTCTAAAGCAAACCATAATTCTAAGTAAAAGTAATAAAACAATGATGTTGATAAAGTGAAACAAAAGACCCTTTCAATTAATATTACATCAGGTAGAAAAAGAAGATAAAAGCAAAGAAAGATAAACAAAAATAGCTGACATATTTTATCCTAACAACAATAATAATTATATCAAATAAAAGTAGTCTAACACTAAAAAAGTAATCTAACACTAATTAAAATGGGATTAAAATGACCCAATTATATACTATCTACAATAAAACCTTTGAGGGATACAAATGCAAGCACTAATTAAATAAAACAGAAATGGCTACATTGACACCAGACAATGCAGTTCAAAAGAAAGAACACTGCCAGGAATAAAGATAATTACTTCATAATAAGTCAGTTCACTAGAGAAAGAATAACCCTCAAAAACATGCAAACATTTAACACAGACTTCCAAAAATACTTTATTCAAAAGCTCTTATAAGGAGAACTAGCAAAATCCACTGCTGCAATCGAAGGCTCCAATACTCCTGTTCAGTAGTGATGAACCAAGTATACAGAAAACAGGGGAAGAGCAGATGATCTGTACACTAGTCCAACCCAAATGGCTAGATCCCCCATCACAAACAGCAAATACATATTCTCCATTCATCAATTAACCCAGATTCTGGACCACTGAACAACTGAATCAAACTAAAATAAAGGTACAACGTACTAATGTCCTCTGAGAAAAATGAAATTGAATCAGCAGGGTCAACAAGAGTTATCTGAAAAGTTACTAAGATGGCTAGAGAACAAATAGTGTACTTCTAAAGAACCCCTGGTTCAAAAGAAGCCACAAGGAATCTTATAAACATTTTAAATCGGCTGTGCATGGTAGTGCACGCCTATAACCTAGCACCCAAGAAGCTGAAGCAAGAGGATTATGAATATGAGGCCATTCTGGGCTACATGATGAAACCTGTCTCCAAAAAGAAATTCTAAGTGAATGAACATCAAAACACATGATATTGAATGTGAGGGTTGCCAGAGTCAAAAAGAAATCTTAAATTAAATTTAGTACTAAATATCTGTATCAATGAAAAAAAGTCTCCAATCAGTAGTCTAAGCTTTCACTTTAGGAAACTAAGAAAAAAGGCAAATCCATCAGGAGGAAGGAAATAATAAAGGCAGAAATCAATAAAACTGAAAAGAGAAATGAAGAAAATCTCAAACCACATGTTTGACTTATATAATAATATTGTATAATATAAGTTCACATTTTAGGGCCATCCTTAACTAAATTATAGGCTGCTTGAACACAAGCACCCCAATAAAACTGTATGTGCATGATAATTGAAATAGTCACTAAATGACTAGTAGGCAGACAGGACTCAGCATGGGTATTCTGGACAAAAGGATGGAGCTAGACAGTATGAAACTCCATCATGCTAATTTGAAGAGTATACCATTCAAACATTATAACTTAATCAGAATTCCTCATTTAACAATTTCTGACTCACTGTGGACATTGAACAACTGTAGCCATGAGCAGGGTGGGGTACCTGATATATACATATATATATACATATGTATATATTATTTAAATTAGAAACAATCTTATTTTACATATCAACCCCAGTTCCCTCTTCCTGCCATCCTTGCACGTCCCCCACAAATCCCCCCATCCCATTCCCCATTCACACCCCAGGGAGGGTGAGACCTTCCATGAGGGATCATCAAAATCTGTTAAGTCATTTGGGGCAGGGCCTGGGTCTTCCCCTGTGTATCTAGGCTAAGAGAGTGTCCCTCCATGAGAAATGGGCTCCTGAAGTCCATTCGTGCACTAGGGATACATCCTGGTTCCACTGCCAGAGGCCCCATAGACTGCCCAGTGCTCCTAACTGACACCCATGCTCAGGGACCCTGGTTTGGTCCTATGTTGGTTCCCCAGCTGTCAGACTCGGGTCCATGAGCTCCCACTCTCTCAGGTCAGCTGTTTCTGTGGGTTTTCCCAGCATGGTCTTGACACCTTTGTTTGTCACTCCTCCCTCTCTGAAATTGGATTCCAGGAGTTTGGCTCAGTGCTTCACTGTGGATCCATCAGCTTCTATCAGCTCTAGGACAGCATTTAAGGTAGTCACCATTCTCATTATAGGGGAAGGGCATTTAAGGTGGCCTCTCCACTATTGCTTAGTGTCCTTTTGGATCTCTGTACAATTCCCTAGTGCCAGATTTCTCTTTAATCCTACAGTGGCTCCCTCTATTGATGTGCCTCCTTTCTTGCTCTCTTCTATTCTTCTCCCCACTCAATCTTTGTGATCCCTCATGTTCTCCTCCCCCTCCTCTTTCTTCTACCTCCCTTGCTCTTCCCTCCATGCTCCCCATTTGTTCAGGGCTCTTGTCCCTTTCCGCTTCACTGGGGAACCATGTTTTTTGTCTTTCTTATGTCCTTCTTGTTTCCTAGCTTCTCTGGAGGTGTGGATTATAGGCTGGTAATCCTTTTCACTATGTCTAGAATTCATATATAAGTGAGTGCACACCATGTTTGTCTTTCTGTGACTGAGTTACCTCACTCAGGATTGTTTCTTCTAGTTCCATCCATTTGCCTGCAAATTTCAAGATTCCATTGTTTTTCTTTCTGCTGAGTAGTACTATATTGTGTAAATGTACCACATTTTCTCCATCCATTCTTCAGTTGAGGGGCATCTAGGTTGCTTCCAGGTTCTGGCTATTACAAATAATGCTGCTATGAACATAGTTGAACAGATGTCTGTGTTTATGAATGTGCATCCTTTGGGTATATGCCTAAGAGTGGAATTGCTGGATCTTGAGGCAGACTGGTTCCTGCAAATTTCTTTAAAAATACAAACTTTCAAAAAGTCACACAACAATGACAGGCATTCATGGCACACGCCTTTAATCCCAGCAATCCAGAGGCAGAGGCAGGCAGATCTCTGTGAGTTAGAGGTCAGCCTGGTTCTACAGAGCGAGTTCCAGGACAGGCTCCAAAGCAATACAGAGTGTCTTGAAACAACAGCAAAAAGTCATACAACATTAAACATATAGTCTGAACTAAAGAAACGTCATGAGACCAACATTACTAGATATGAAAATCAGACAAAGAGATGATAAGAAAGGGAAGATCATGGCTAATGAGATGGCTTCATTGGTTATGGTGTTATTGTTGAGTCTAATTACCCAAGTTTGATTCCCAGAACTCACAGGGTGGAAGGAGAGAAGAACTGTTTCCTAAAACTTGTCCTCTGACTTCCACAAGAGTACCATGGCACACACATGCACACAAACACACATAAATGTTTAAAAGTATAAAAAAGAAAACTACAGACCAATATCCTTCATGGATATAAAAAATTAAACCATAAATACCCCCTCAAAATATTATCAAATTCAACTCAGCAATACAAAAATACTCCATTATCATGTAAGATATATCCTAAAAACATAAACCTGGTCCAAAATTTAGAAATCAATATAAAAAACTAAGGTTGCTTCTTGATTTGTCCCATCACATGTTGGAAATATGAAACATCAACACTAAAAATTCAGATATGATTGAATGAAACATGTATTCCTTTTTTTTTTTTTTTTTTTTGGTTTACGAGACAGGGTTTCTCTGTATTGTTTTTGGAGGCTGTCGGTCCAGCCCGGCCTCGAACTCACAGAGATCCGCCTGCCTCTGCCTCCCGAGTGCTGGGATTAAAGGCATGCGCCACCACCACCCGGCTAACATGTATTCCTTTTACATAAAGTCAAATCACTTAGGACCATCTGTGTATGATAGATTCATTTAACAAACCTCTCCCAAAAATCTAACACAATTCAACTTTTTAAAGATTTATTTGTTTGTTATATATACAGTGTTCTACCTGCATGTGTCCCTGCAAACCAGAAGAGGGCACCAGACTACATTACAGATGGTTGTGAGCCAACATGTGGTTGCTGAGAATTGAACTCAGGACCTCTGGAGTGCTCTGCAGTGCTCTTAACCCCTGAGCCATCTCTCCATGATTCAGTTTTTATTCATGGTATAATTGCTCTAGTTGGATACACAGAAAACAACAAAGAAGACCTGTAAAAACTTGTCTGAATCAGACACAAGGTGCTTGAGAGACCCAGAGTCCTCCAGCATAAGGATACATGGTAGAGACATCGAGCCTATGATAGAGCTGTAATAAAGTACTGATTACAGGTAAGAGAGAACCAGTCACATGCAGGCAGGTTTCACCTGAGTAAAATGTTATCAGATCTCTGGACCAATGTAGCTGTTTCCTACTTAGGATGCTGGATTCTTAAAATGAATTCAAAAGATCCTGAGCAGGACTTGTCAGGGACACTACAGGACCCTGTTCCTTAAATGGCATGGACCTGATGGCATTGGAAATTCTTCTTCATGCTAAGAAAGAGCAGGGAAAGAAAATCCAGTTGGCTTAATTAATGTTTACTAAATGGCAAGAAAGGGGATGTGAAAT